CTAGACATCTCCTTCCAGAGGCCTGCCACCCTGTTAGTCTTATGCCGCTTTGTCCTCAGTCCTTGTTCATCTGCCTTCTCCCAGCAAGCCAGAAGGGACAAGTGCCAACAGGAAGACGAGAAGCAGTTGCTGTTCACCCTTCCTGTCCTTCTCTGAGTAGACTGGCTCCAGAGGGGACCAAGAGGGACACGGCAAGTGAGTGACCGGCGGGGGGGGGGGGGGAGAGAGAAGATGCTACCAGAGAGGCTTCTCCTTGTTGCAAGGCTACTCCAAAGCCTGGCTTGGCCCTGCTGTCACTCAAAAATCTCCCATGCAGGGCAGACAGCTTAACACCATGTTTTAAGTGCAGAATTCGAATGATGCCAAGCAGAGCTCCAGCTGCATGGAGCTGCTTGCCAGAGCAGAACTAGCTGTTCTCCCCTGGTATTGTGGCCAGGGATGGGGTGGGGGCACAGATGCGATGCATATGTGCAGGACTCTCGGATGAAGAGCAGAATCTCCAAACCCTATAGAGCCATTTTACAGATAATTGGCAGCACAGCTGGATGGGGACAAATTGCCAATTTGACCACCCCTCCTGCTGCCAACCGCATGTAAGGGGGACACATGGAGGAAACAGAGACAGATTATTTGAGGAAATCTATGCAATATGGTCCAAAACACAATCCTCAAACCAATTCCAACACAGTGTTCATATAAAAACAGCTGTAATAAAAACCACGGACTCTGTGTCCCTTCTCTCTCAATGTAAGGTTTCAGCGTCCCATTGCCACTGTTGGAATAATTACCCTTTCAGCTACCTCTGGGCCCTTACAGGCCATCAGGAATAAAATTGCCAGTTTTAGCCCATCTTTCCTCTGCAGCTGGCAGCTCCTGTAAATTAAATAGCCCAAAGCAGAGCTATAAGAATAGCCATGCAAAGAAAGCTTTAAAAATATGCACCCTGCACCATACAGGAAGCTTGCTCCCAATACAGAACAAATCGCTAGCCAACACTACCAGGGACACACCATGAGAGTTGTCTGGCCCAATGCAAGGGGTTGCATCATAATATAGGAACATAACAAAAGCCCTACTCTACTGAACCACAAAGGAAATGTGGGAACAGCATCCTGTTCTTAATAGTGATTAATCAAAGAATTTGGGGTAACACCCTCTCATTCATTAGATAACTGGTACCAGCAACTTGGAGATATACTGTTAGTGAACCTGAAAGCTCCATTTAACTATCATGTTTATCCTTACACCACCAATTTCCCTAATTTCTTTTAAAGCCAGAGGCCATTACCATGTTTTAGAGCAGAAAGCTCTAAAAGAAATGCCTCTTTTGGTCTGTCCTAAATGTATTGCCACTTATACTTGCTCCTCACCTGTAGAATGTTAATTTTGGGAGTAATGAAGGTAGAAGGATGCTATTTTTGAAACATAATGCGGCTATTAATAACATTGCAGAGTGATGTGTAACATTTACTTACTACTCAAAAAAATTCCTGGGAGTGTCTGTTGGAGGGATTTTGGGGGCTATTTCTGTATTTTAAGTGTGTTTTTAAATTAAAATCAATTTAAGAAGCAACATATTGGTAAAATCAGTTCATGATTCATAAAATAAAGAAGAAAAAGAGGAGACAGAGACGGAAGGACAGGAGCAACGAGATGATATTGTATGCTATCAAGTTACTTTTGAGATACAATAACTCTGGTAGGGCTCTCAGGTATGTGAGATGTTCACCTGGTGAGATTCCATGGCTAAGTGGCAAATTATTTATTCATTTACTGCCCCATTACTGTAGTTCAGAACTTGAACCCAGACCCCAAGTCTTTGTCCAATATTCAGCAACAAATACCAAATTACTTGTACCATTATAAACTCTTACCATACTTGTTCCTGCACCTTAAGCATTACTACAATCATGTTCCTTATTTATTTAATAGAACAATACACATGGTGTTTATATGAATATGTAGACATCAGATCTGTATCAAGATAATTTTGATACCGGTGTTTTAATTTTCAGTGCTTTTCCTTATAGCCCCTGGCACTAAATTTGACGTTTTCACTTAGGTTTTCTGCACAGAGCTAGTTCCATGATGTCATTTATGGACTATATTTCACATTACCCCAAAGAATTCAGGCAAATAGAAGCTGTAATTGGAAAGTTAAGCCGAAATCAGGAAAACAGTACCAGGAGAAGAATGCAAATCTTATTATCTCACAAAAGGAGGTTTGCTTTGAATCAAGAAATCTATTTTCTCCCTTTAGGTTATAAAAACAGAATCTGGAGTCAATAGCTAAAATTGAGATGGACTAAATGTGTTCACGTTGGCTCAGACTTCCCAGGTTAGAAACAGTTTCAGTCTTGCTGATTTCCAGAGACTATGAAGGGTATTTCAGCTCCTTTTTTTCCCCTATAGCCAATCTGGAACAAGGCTGTGCCAGTTGCTGTTGTCATACTGAGTCTGACCAAGCTGGTACACATTTACAGTAGACAGAAAGATGGAGTTTTTGGTACCCCACATAATCGATTTTAACCCATCATCTCCTCTGCCCCTACAGTTGACTTGGGGCCATTTCCCCACTAAAGGAAATCCTTAATCATTTCTTTTTTTTTTAAATGGTGGACCTAATAAGCACAATGGACAGATTTATATGCGTCTGTTTCATTTTTTAATTTATTGTGGCTAAAGAATCTGGATTATTTTTATGCAAAATTCTTACCTCGGGTCTTTCATAGGAAAACAACAACAACACCTCAGAGCTTTGAATACAGAATAACATTGGGGGATCTGTGGTCCTCCTGATGTTTCTGGACTCCAGGTCTTACCAGTTCCAATCACCAGCCCATAAGTGAGGCGTAATGAGGGTTGTAGTTCAGCTATATCTGATCTAGGGAGGGCGCAGGTGCCTCAGTCCTCCAAACATGAAATCCTACAGTTCTTAAAGAGGAAGGCGCTGGAGTTCACACATGCCCAGGAGCCCCACTTTCTGATCAGAGAATCTTTGGGGTGGCTAATTTGTAGATTATCTATGGAACACAGAAAGCAACTTTTGTGTGCTCACCGTTATGCTCATTTACTCCTCTTCCTTTGCCTATTCTGGGTGTGGACGGGAGGACCTGAGGCCACGTCCTGAATACAATTAAGCCTCAACAGATTGGCCTGTAGGAACCATCCAGAACTCAGCACTTGTTAATCTCTGGCCTCTGACTCACCCACCCACCAGGGAGGCGAGTGCATTCCGTAACCTTGTGCCAGGGGCTCAGTGCGCATGTTCCAGTCGATTATGTACAATGATTAGAGCCGACAGCTGCTAGCTGCCAGTTGTAAAGGCTCAGAAGTGCAATCTAGTGCCAGAGCACCCAAAACAAAGCACATTCCTAATAAATCTCCCCCTTGCCACCCCTCCTACTTCCCTTCGCTCTTTCCTTCTGAGCTCCCTGCATACAGAGTCTCTGAGGCTGGTGGCTTTTTGAAATGTCAATCAGCCAGGATCAAAGGGAAAGCTGAAGAAGTCATTTTACACCCTTATAATTCCTCCTGATTAACACATCTGCTCAGACAGAGGTTTGCGGCTGGGGAGAGAAAAAGAAGAGATGGAATCAGGGCATCAAAAGCTGCCTGGCACAGCTGTCTAGGGGATTCAGTTCCTACAGCAGATCTGAGTGCCGGCTGAGAAATGGAGGAGGTGGGAGAGAGGAGCGTGCCACATTTAATGCTGCGTCTGGGGCTCAGACGCCCAGACTCTCCCTCCAAGCATGAAGCTCATTGCCCCTACAGGGCTGCAGGTAGCGAAGAGACAGAGTAAGGAAGAGGAGGAGGAGGAGGAGGAAGGATAATTCAGATGCAGAAAATTCATGGCTGGAAACTGGCAAGCAACAGTTACCAATCTGAAAAGTAAACAGTCTTCATTCCACACGTCATCAGCCTTGGATTCTAATGAATTAATCACACATAGACTTGCGGGTTGCTCAGTGAAATTGTCCACAAAAGAACTTTAGTACTGGAAAGGGGGGGGGGAGAAACCTTCACAATCATTGTAAGAGACAGACTTCCACTATGTTTTAAGTGTATGTCAAAAAGAAAAGGACACCACATCACATGTCTCCTTCAAGTATTCTATTGAGGGAGCTAAGACTGACTGCAGCTCCCTACTTACAGCAGCCACTGAGACAAAAAAACTACTGTCCATCTCAGGCAATGTTCTGACTGACCGCATTTTGAAAAGGGTCTAAAATTATTAGACAAGGAGAAACACAGATATAGCAGCCACTAAGACAAAAAAACTATTGTCCATCTCAGACAATGTGTGAAATGGTTCTGACTGACCGCATTTTGAAAAGGGTCTAAAATTATTAGACAAGGAGAAACACAGATACCCCTGCCTGTGCTATTCTTACTTATTTGGCATTTTTAATTTCCAAAATGCTTGCTGCATTTCCTGCTGCGTTGTCATAAATTTATAGAACAATGGAGTTGGAAGGGGCGTAGAAGGCCATTGAGTCTAACCCCCTGCTCAAGGCAGGAATCCAAATCAAAGCAGATCTGACACAGGGTTGTCTAGTTTTCTCTTGAATGCCTCCAGCCTTGGACCGCTCACCACACATCTTTTTCTCAAAGAAACTTGAAGGTAGGTCACTTATTCCTGTTTCACCAATGAGAAATGGACATAAGAATAATAAAAAAGATGCACAAGGACATAAAGATCCAAACCAGACTTGAAGCCAGATGTTCCAAAACACACACACACACACAGTCATACACACACACATACACACACACACACAGTCACACACACACACAGTCACACACACACACAGTCACACACACACACACACACACACACACACACACAGTCTCCAGATCCTACTTGCTATCCATCCCCTGGGTTCACTTAATTTCTGGAGAGAGGTCCGTGACATCACAGGGGATCATGGTGTCACAGCCACATTTGTGACATCACAAGCTATACATCTCTACCATACCATGTAAGTTACAAAGTGGTTGCTTTAGCTGCAGAAGGAAGAAATTCAAATGAACCAGTGATTGGGGCTAAAACAGCAGAATATTGGGGGCTTAGGAAAAGGTGAGTAAAGAAAATGATGATAAGAGGCATACAAAATTCCATGTAAGATACAGAAGAAAGACAAAGCATATAGCAAGAAAATTTTCTCCCTCACCTATCATACTAGAAACCTAGTGTGATTAAGTGAAATTCAAATGGTAGCAGATTCAGGACAAAGAGCAAGGAAGTAGTGCTTCACATAGCTGGGTAGTAGAATATACCATCTTTTGGACAGCGTAAAAAAGACTTAAGACAATTTAAGACAGAATTAGTCTATTAATGGCTATTAGTCAAGATGTATAGTGTATATCACTTGTTGTATACCATTTGCTGGGAAACACAAGTGGGAAGATTAGTGTTACTGTCATGTGCTGCTTATGGGCTTCCCAGAAACACTTGGTTACCCAATGTATATATAAAATGTTGAGCTAAGCAGCATAATTTGATCTGAAGCAACAGAACCTAAGTTATTTATCCCGAGGAGGTACCATTTTCCAGGTCCTACCCCACCAGTTTTGCCAAGCTTTAATGGCCTACAATTTTGTGTTCGCTAGGCTGAGTCGGAACTGAGCTCAATGGGCCTTATGTTTAAACAACCTTACACAGCGTTGTCACTGGCCTTGATTTCATGTATTAGAAATAAGCAGAACTGTAGACAGATCAATATTATTTTAACTGCAAAGGGTTGTGTGTTTCTAAATGGTTTGGGCAGCTCTCTGGATGTATTGGCATACATGTTCCCTCCCCCCCCAAAAAAGTGAGTGTTTCCGAGAGAGAAACTAGACGGGAGGGTAGAAAGGGCTCTGCTTGTTAGCAGAGCTGACTTATTCTCTTTTCTGCACTAGGGAGGGAATCAACTCCTCTCTCAAGCAGGAATGAGTGACTCCAGACATGACAGCTACTTTGCTGAGAACAGAAGTGTGTGATGGCTGCTTACAAAAGGCAGGGGATGGGAAAGCAGAGGCAATTTTTAGCTCAGGAGGCAGTGGTGTGCAGAACGCATCTCCTCCATCACTGGAGGGTGCACAGACTTTAGAGGTCTTTTTCACTTCATGTAAACAGGGGTTATCCTGGCTTTTTTTTTTTAACTTTCAGGAATCTATTTGCCTAAATGATTTTTTTTTTCTGGCAAATATTTTTGGATACTTGTTTGTTGAAAACCTATAGATGTTCTGAGGCTGGTGCCATTAGACTGACAAAACAATATGAATGGTGAAAACTAGGATCAGCAGTGTGATCCCTGTAAATGTTAATGTAGTGGCCCTTTCCAGATGCCAATTTTAAAAGATTCCTCTTTTAAAATCCCCACAGACCTAAGGGTTTAACGTAACAACTGTGTTTGGCAGGAGGGAGAAGAGGTTTAAACCCCTGGTGTATAACTGATCCAAGTTTGGCTCAGAGTCATGCAAGTAGACAGTGCAGTTTTAAAAGTAAGGCATACAGCTGCACTGTACATGCATAATATGGCATACTGTTTGACTCTGAGCCATAGAAAGTGTCGCACTGACTACGGATTAAGCTAAACTAACATTCCAAACCAAGATAACACACATTCTGAAACCTACATAAACTAAACTCAGCCACTTATTTACTTGGCATAATATATTCAGCTTTCTAGAAGCCCAGAGGATTTATAGAGTTGTAGAAATTCCACTCAGTTCCTTCCTTGCCTTCAAAGACTTGGCCACCTTAATTTATTTCAAGTATTTATACCCTGCTTTGAGGCCAGAAACAGGGACGTGGTGGTGCTGCGGGCTAAACCGCAGAAGCCTGTGCTGGAGGGCCAGAAGACCAGCAGTCGTAAGATCAAATCCACGTGACGGAGTGAGCGCCCGTCGCTTGTCCCAGCTCCCGCCAACCTAGCAGTTCGAAAGCATGCAAATGCAAGTAGATCAATAGGGACCACCTCGGTGGGAAGGTAACAGCGTTTCGTGTCTAAGTCACACTGGCCATGTGACCACGGAAGATTGTCTTCAGAGAAACGCTGGCTCTACGGCTTGGAAACGGGGATGAGCACCGCCCCCTAGAGTTGAACACGACTGGTCAAAAATTGTCAAGGGAAACCTTTACCTTTACCTTGAGGCCAGAAAGTATCCCAAAATGGGTTATGTACAGTCCCTTCCCATAGGCTTGCAATCTAAAAAAACACAACACAAACACACAAGAACAAGAGGGGAAGTGGGAAAGCCCCAATTGGTAAAGTACCTATAATATTTTTGATAAAGACTGACTGGAATGCAAAAGAAGTGTTTTCATTCAAAGTCCCATGGTCTGTCTACACACACTCCCCAGCTATTATTTGCAGCCAAATAGGATAGAATCTAATACAATTTAAATATTCAGAATACTTTATCCCACGCCTTTGTGGTCCGAGTACTGAAGCCACATTGCCTTGCCAGAGACACTGTCATATTTAAGATGTCATGCCGAAGTTTGGCTTCGCAAGCTCAACTGAGGGCTGGTGTGACCTCTGAACTAACCAACCAAGGTTTTCCACCGGTCAGAAAACTAGAATCAGAAAACATTGTTTTAAATGAATCTACAAACCATAGTTTATACTGATTATGGTTTTGTATGAGATCTAAAATGCCCAAACAGGTACAGATGATTTATCTACCTCTGTTAAGTCCCCATAACATATAAATGGGTCTAGTGAAGAGAGAGAGAAAATGGGGGTACCACCCAGGAGCAGACAAGCAATTTTAAGCCAGGAGTTGCCCAAATAGTAAAAAACAGTTTGGATTAATGCAGGCCAGGGGGTGTGGTACTGAATCTGTATGGCTGTTTGATAATGTTAATTCTGGTATGCTGCGGATCAACAGAGCTCACTTGCATAACTGAGCTGTCAGATCTGCATAATCATCATTCCAGCTGTTGTACAATTCCAGGAACAGTGAAGCTTTTGGATTGTACAAGATGCCTGCTGCCCCATCTTTGATATTAAAGGCACCCTTGCCTTGCTGCCTACTATGTCAGACACTAGAAGTCACAGCATAGGTAAGGCCAAACACCATGAATCTATGTAAAGCGGGATTACAGTTTGGTAGAAAATGGTAGCATTGCAAATTAATCAGTTCTGCATGTCTCTAGCATGTCTGAATCAAGGAAGCGTGACTGCTATTCCAATGGATGGTTATTCCATTGGCTTCCTTCCTTCAACAGCAACAATTCTTCAATCCCCCAAACAGTTTTTTGATGTGGATGTGTACAGAGTGTGAAAATCTTCCAGCGTCCTTGGCAAAATCCACAAGTAACTCACAATTAGAATAAGTGTACTGAATCAGTGGGAATTTGGTGAGTGAACTCCTCTGTAAGTTCCACTGTGACTTATTACTGGATTTCAGCTAGGGTCAATGTTATCCTTGACTGGAGCTTGGGATATTTATTTTATTTATTTATTTTATTTATATCCCGCCTATCTGGTCGGTTAAGAGGAACCACTGTTCCTGAGTCCCTTCTATGGTACTTAGACATATCTTTAGTCAAGATATTCTTAGTGATACAAATCCCGGCTCATCTACACTCATACCTTATTAATTTTTGATGAGTAACAAATGATGGCTTTGCATTATATGGTTCCTGCCACCTACAAAAAGTGCCCAGCTCCTTTGCAAAGGTGACCCCTGATTTTGGCTGTTCTAGACCCATCACTTACTAACCTGGAATCCCTGATATGGACTCAATCCCCATTACAATGGGGCCTTGTCAGTGCTCCACAAAAAAGTCCTTTGGTTGGTGACCCACCCACAGCATTTCCAGAGAACAGTCCCCATTCTTTCAACCACTCTACGCTCTCCAAGGTCCTGAATTAACCTACATATTCAATTCAATATATTCCAGCCCTATGTGTTTGTCAGTAATAGTCATGATTTAGGATAGGGTTTTTTTGTTTGTTTGTTTGTTTCTGGTTGTTGTTTTTAACTGTTCTGGAATATGCTCTTAGGATAGGGGTTTTTTGTTTGTTTGTTTGTTGTTTTTAACTGTTCTGGAATATGCTAAGAGTTTTGTAGTGTACTGAGGATTGAGGTTCTTCCCCAGTTTGGTCATCTGTTGCTTTTTGTACTTTCCTATGTTTCATTGTGCCCCCCTTCCCTTCTCTCTGCACAGCCAAGTGATATTCAAATAACTGTTGCTTCCAGGATTTCTTTCTCAAGCCCCCTCCAACGCCAGGATACACATTAGCACCGCAATATGGAAATTACCGTGAATCATTACATGGAACCATGGTCTCTGCATCACACATAGAATCTTGTATGTAACTGAATTATTTTCTCCATATGAAGTTGCAAATAATTTAAGGAACACTGGCAAAGATATGGGGGGAGGGGCTACTTAAATCTATGATCCTAACAGGCCTTCTATTATGCAGACATACAATTATGACCAGACAATATTTAAAAAACAAAACCACAAAAGGAAGCAACCGATAGTTTCTAAAACCCTTAAAAATAAAAACAGGGATGGCACTGTTGGCATTCAGCTCTCTCTCTCTGTCTCTCAATCTCACCCACCCACCCCCTTTTTTTTTGCAACTCAGGAAATGGGCAAGAATATTGCATAGTGAAGGGACCAGGTGTAGTGTTCTGAGGGAGAGTGGATTGTTATTTTGGCACTTGGTTTGTTCAAAATACACACAAAATGAAGGAAGGAAGGAAGCCAGAAAGTACATGTATATCACCTGGGATCTTTGTGTCTCACAAATGACTAAACATAACAAAGAAAGTTCGTAAGCCCACCACAACACTCCTACTAAGAGTCAGCAACTTGCAACTGCATTGTGCTTCAAAAAGAAAAAAAAACCTGAAGCAACTCGGAATCGTCTCTTTCTGTAAAGGTTTACAAACAGAGTTCTAGATAAGAAACCAAACAGGAGAGCTTTAAATACAAGATATCCTGGAACAGAGCAGTGGTGTGGCTTAGATGGTCTCTTGAATCCCCTTCCAGAATCAAAACAGCCAGCACAGGGCAGTAGCTGAATTCCAGGAAGCTCCTGTTTCTAGTCTCACTCTATCCAAGTGCTCCACAGGCAGGCCACCCTTCTTCCAGCCTCAGCAACACCCCCATCCCAGAGATGCTAGTCTCCCAAGCAGGAAGACATTCTGTAAGGACATCTCCAATGTAGCTCTGTTGAGAAGGATTAATACAATTTTTATTACTTTTGCCAGTTGAGTTTGGAAAGGCTTGATCCTCAGGATTAGTACTTTGGCATTCTCAGATGCCTATGCTCTACTCTTTGCATATGAAGGGATTTGAAATATTAGCATCCTGCCTTTCCATTAGTTTAATGGGCAGTTACATGAGAACATACAGACCATTCATATGAAAAATAGGCAAAGCGGACGGAAAATATTTTGATGCTGTTAATACAAACCCAGCATCAAAATATTTAGCAGAGATGAAACAGTGGCACAACAATCTTCTAGCTATCCTTTGTTTAAATCTACACCAAAATGAGAACAGATACAAAGTCAGTACTTGGGCAGGAGAAGGCAGTCTGTGGCCGTCCAAACACCATTGGACTGCAACTCCCATCATCCTTCACAACTGGTTATGTAAGCTAGCAGTTTTTGGGAGTTGTAGTCGAATAATTTGGGGATGGCCATATTTTGCTCAGCTCTGCTGTAGGAAGATGCCCTTCCAAGAAAGGCTTGTATCCATGCTGCTTTCTCTTGGCAACCACAACAAGTGGCAGAAACATCTTCAGAAATTTACACCCCCATCTCTGTCAGCCAAAGGATGTTGTGGTGCCTTCATCTGAAATATATTCTTTGCACACATGTCTCACATTGACTTATGCCTCCTCACATCACAACCCCAAAAATATTCCCAAAAAAAGTTGCCAGTCTCCCATCTGCACATATCCTGTAATGGGAGGGGCAAAAGGCAGGACCAAAACACGTACATATTTTAGTTTATAGCTCTTACTATTGATACCTAAGACTTAGGAGAGGTGTTTTGATCTTTCAGAATGGGAAGCACACACACTGCATAAACTGGAAAACACCAAACAAGGGTATCATAGAAACAGGAGAAGACATCTAAAAATGCTTAGGATGCTAGACTGGGCCTCCAAGTGGGATTTATTTTGACCCCAAGGATTATCCTACTCCTGTTGTAGACCAACATCTGGAAGGTGGCAAGTTTTCCACCACTGCTCTGCCATTTTCTGAACACAGAATTTTGACAGCTGGAGAATGATATACCGTACTGGGAAATGTTTCCATAATGCCAGCTGGCTGAGAGAAAGCATGAAAAAACTGACAGTAAAGTTAAGGATAAAAAGGTATGTGGGAGCTTCCCTTCACCAGGCACTCTAGCTCATGGTGCACATTAATGTAAACAGGGACTCTGTGTACACAGAAGAACAGCTGTTTACCTCCCCTGAAGAGGAGCTGAGCAGAGAGGCCTTCAAAGACACAATGGTGGGTGATGATGCCTCAGTTCAGAGCTGAAAAGTAACTGTCAGCTCTTGCACTCTGAGTCACCAGCAAGGCAGCTCATTAAAATGTCAAGTCCTGCCAAACTCTGATGCTGCAAATGGAAGTGAGTGCAGGAAGAAATGGGGGGGAAGGCCAAGGCGAGGGGCTATGGAGAGGGGGAATGGGGGGGAGTAATCTACCAGCATTGTTTCATCCCCTGTGTGTCATTAACTCATTTTTAAAAGGCTGCTAAGAGGAATGAGCAGGAACGCCCCTGAGTGGGAGTTTGAACACGATGGAGCTCTTTTTATAATACGAAACATCAAAGCGCAGGCACCCTAATGGGTTTGAACAAAAAACAATGAAAAGAAAATCACCAAAAACAATCTTCTCTTCCTGTTTTCTGCCCACTGACTTTGGGCAAGCTCTTTGCTCCTTCTCCATCAACTCTCCTGATTCACAATCACATCCTGTCCTTGCTAGAATGTCCAGCAGCAAGTAGAGGTCAACCGGGATGGCTTCTCCATCCCCAGAGGGCTAATGATTCAGGTCATTCAGCTTCCACAGAAGCTCATCAAGAGTCCCACAGTGAGAAGATTGCAATGGTGGGCATGCTGTCTACCAGTGTTCATCTTAGAATTATAAGAAGCGCCCTGCTAGATCAGACCAGAAGCCCACTTATCCAGCATCCTATTGCCACAGTAGCCAAACAGATGACCATGGGAAGCCCATGGATAGGATACAGCAGCATGCTCAAATCCATGTTCCCCAGTCATAGATATTCAAATGTAAGGTACCTCTGGTACAGAACCTTGCATACATAGATGGAGTTAATATCTATGAATCAGTGTGATCTAATCTTAAGAGTGTAGACAAGGACTTGGAAGGTCCAGGTTCAAATCAAGCCACAAATATCGCTCAGTCACATTAATCCAGTCATGGCCTCTCACTCAGACCTACATCACAGATAAAATGTGCAGATAAAATGGAAGATGTTGGGAGCTATCTAGGCCACTTTGAGCTCTAAGAGAGAGAGGGGAATGAAATGCAACAAACTGAACAAAGATAGTTCAGTAGTTTAGGTATCTAGCTGCAGAGCTAGATGTTGGGAGTTCGATTCCCCACTATGTGGCTCCTCGACAGCGTCTGGACTTCATAAGCCCTAGGGTCCCTTCCAGCTCTGCAGTTCTAAGATTATTAAGGTACCACAACATTCCTCATTGTTGATGCAAACAAACAAGAACAACAAGCCATCCTGACTGGTATCTGCTTATAGTTGTGAAAATTTTTTATCTTTTAGTGTTTTGCAATGTACTGCTACAAGAAAGCATTGTATGGCACACTGAAATGGGTACTTAATACATCATGCAAAGGTGCAGCAGATGTGTTTAATATACTGCTCACGGGCATCCTAGGCAGTGTAGCTAATAGTGAGTGACTACAGGAGCTGCTGCCAAGAAACATCCAAAGGGCCACAGCCTTCTATGGTTCTCTGCAACATGTAGGAGGCTGTGCAGCAGAACAGCCTGACGCAGAAGAACCTCCTTCCTTTCCCACATGCAGATCTTTCCTTTTACACTGCAGCCCCACTGGGAAAAAATAAAACATGCACACAGAGACATCCCAATGCAACCAGAAATGTATCTACAGTACTGTGTAGTTCTCCACTCTGTGCGGCTCAGCCCGGTGGGGAGCTGAATGAGAATCATAGCTGAAGCATTCATTCTGGGAGCCCAAGATGCTCAGAAGTGGAAAAGCCAATGAGCAAGGTAGGATACTTTCTATTGTTTTCATGAGAGATCCTATTACCTTTCTATCCTGGCCTTTCTCCCAAGAAACGTGGAGTGGTGTACCTGATTTTCTCAGCCCCTTCTCATTTTCTCTTCATAACAGCCTGGTGAGATTGGTTAGGCCAAGAGAATGTAGTCCAAGGATAAACAGTAAGCTTAATATCAGAGCGATGATCAAAAACTGTGTTTCCTCAGTCCTAATCTGACCATATAACTACAGTGCTAACTCCTTCGTTTAACTGCCTACCTGACTGCCTGTCCTGCTGAGTAAAAGACCTGGAAGGAGTCATAAAACCGATTCAATCAGTATCCAGCAAGGCTGCTTAGGGAAGTTTTCAGAGATGTTGCTGGGGACAACCCCTAGTAGAGGCAGCTGCAGGGCAATCCATTGCTTTTCCCTCAGGTCACTTGAACACAATTCAATTTGGGTTACCCTGGAACAGTTCCTCAGTACATGAGCAGAATGCATTCCCATTTCTCTACTGAGCAACCTTTAATTACAGCCCATGCTTTTGGAATTTCAGGCTTCTTAGGCAAGAAGTATAAATGTTAGGCAGTTTATTGCCTTGATACACCTTTTGCACATGAATTCAGATTTCCACTAACCTCGGTAAGGCCAATCCTAGGGCTAGATTTGCAAGCAAGCAAACAAACAAACACACAGGAGAGAGACAGGCAAGAAGGGGGATTCCAGGCTTGAAAAGCTGCAAGATGGCCGCAGAAAGAGATCAAAAGGCAAGACCTAAACCAGCTATAGAAAGATTTGCAGCCAGAAGCGAGGGTTGGCACTTGCAGGTAAGAGAAATCTCTTATGAATTGTAGCAATAAATGAAAACACAACGAACACATGTCCGGTGTTCTTTGCGCATACACAAAGCAAGTATGTGAACCCAGACCATCCTCTCCATTGTGTAGGGTTAAGTCAGCTCTTGTCCAGAAAGCCAACTATGAGAGGTTGCAGTGTTGCACATGCCAGAGAGGGGAAAAGGAGGACAGGAGATACAGGAGAGAAGGAGACTTTGCCATGAATAGTGCCTACATTTTCTTCCCCCTGCACTGCTGGATGAACACCTGCAGATAGCTCTGCAGTTATAGAAAAAAATATTTTTTTTTCTCAAAAGAAAGGGCATTAAACAGCGGAGGATAGAGAATGTGGGCACCCAAGCATTTGCCTTCACTTTTCCTCCTCAGTGAGGAACACAAATG